TAAGTTTATATATATATAGAGAGAGAGAGAGAGAGAGACAGAGAGAGAGAGAGAGATTCTATATATTTACTTTAATTTTACGACGGGTTAAGAATTTTTTTAAAATGAGACAAACGTCCATTTAGATCTACCAATAAATAAATAATAAATAGATAAATATTTAAAAAACCCAAGACATTCGAATAACCCTGCCACACTTCTAATAACTGTGCATACCGCAAACATTGTGGATGATTAGAGTGTGGACGTTGAAAGAGTAGGAGTAGGAACGAAAGGGTACAGCTCTCCTTAACATCAAAGATAATTTGTCGGAACCGTGTTCTGTAGTGGCCTTCTGTAATTAGCTTTTAAATTCTGTTAGTCATTCAAGTCACAGGCCCGCAAAGAAACACTTGAGAAGATGACATGTAACAATTTGTTTTGATCCTGTTTTAACCGCGGACACAGGAATTAAAACAAGGAACCGCCTGTTGTCTAGGTCTGGTATCTCTAATCTCTAGCCTAGTGTAAACGCTGACACTGGCCTACGTGCAGAGGTGCACGCGACACTGCCATCACTTTCCATTAGTGTAACTCTACAGACGCGAGGGAGCAAGTAGCTATGTGGAATAATTAAAAAGAAAGAAAGAAAGAAAGAGAGAAACGCCAGAAGCAGCTATTGGTGAAAAGGAAAGGGAGCAAGTAGCAAAAGGAAATAATAATAATAATAATAATAATAATAATAATAATATCAATGATAATAATAACATTGAAAAAACAAAAAAACCCATAGAACAAACTAACGCGAGAAGCTATTATTGACGAAAAGGAATCAGCAGAGTAGGCACTCATGGTTGTCTCATCGATTGTTGGGCCCATCCCCTTTCTGGCCCACTTACAATTTTGGCTAACCTGCCGGTTACCTCATAATAATAGATTTCTCTCTATATATATCTATACGAGTATGTATAGAGGAACACCATGCCTCTCATTGCCTCATAATATAGTATTATGTAGGAACACCGTGCCTCCCACAGAGCGTGTTGAAAGAGGGGAAGAGGG